TATTTTATATATATTATATATATTTTTGTATATATATTTTTTTATATATATTTTTGTATTTATATTATTTTTTATATATATATATATATATATATATTTTGTATATATATTATTTTTATATATATTTTGTATATATATTATTTTTATATATATATTATATATATATTTTGTATATATATTATTTTTATATATATATATATATATATATATATATATTATATATATATTTTGTATATATATTATTTTTATATATATATATATATATATATATATATATATTTTGTATATATATTATTTATATATTATTATATATATATATGTATACATGTCCTTTTCATTTCCATTTTAACTAAAACTTCATTGTTGCTCACATGTCCATGATATTCTCAACGTCCTTCTGTAGAACCACATTTCTGTTGCCTCAAGTCTCTTCTTTTTGATGGAAATTGTCCAGCATTCACTGCCATATGAAAGGGCTGATATTATATAATATTTCAGCACTCTTTTCTTTGTTTCTAACAAAATTCTCCTTTTTCCTAATACTTTGCTTTGCTTTTGGAAGGCATTTTTTGCTATCCCAGTGCACCTTCATTTTTCAATTATAATTGTTATACCTCTATATGATGACCATGTTTTCACTTCCGCGCTTCATATCTCTCAACAATGTGCCATTGTCATAATTGTCGGCACCAATGCAAGGGAGACTTATATCCACTGCACCATGACCAATCTATGTATGAAGGAGGAACAGAAAATCATAGAATTAAAGAACATCAATGACTGAATAAACAAAAGGAATTAGATCTCATGAATGTTCAAAATAAACTGGCATCCATTTTTAAAAATTGCTAAGCATGAAACAGGCTCTAAATGTATAATGAAATAAAATAATGTTATTTTTTGTGTGCATTTCCATTGTATTATATAAAAATAACATCATGTACAATATTTTTTATTTATGTAAACAAAAAGAAAATTGTTTAAGGTTTTTTGTTAAAAATTTATTTTTTTTTTTATATTTGTGTTTTTCTATAAAACTAGCTGAATTATCCGCACCTTGCTGCATGTCACATATTTTTTTTGTAAGGAAATTATGACTGATTTTAAATCATTGTTATAATTTGTGGAGAAAACTGATGCATTTCAATATTACTCGATGATCTTGCTGATATGACCTCCATCTTCTGGCTTTCTCCTTCTATATTTTGGATAGGAGTCATTCCCTTGTTCAAATTTAATTTTAATTTAAGTCAAAGGGAAAAACATTTGTAGTTTGGTGGGAAGGTGCAAAAACAGCTTGATATGTATTTGATGCAATACTTGATTGAATGAATTGATGAGCAGAATTCAACATTGATACGACAGTTGAATTGTCACAACAAATGTGTATTGTGAGGCGCTATGCACTAACTGGTGATTTCTTGCACAACTTGACATCCATATTGTCTCATTTTGATCTTGCTGATGTGACCTCCATCTTCTGGCTTTCTCTTTCTATATTTTGCATAGGAGTCATTCCCTTGTTCAAATTTGAATTTAATTTAAATCAAACAGAAAAAAAAATTTGGTAGTGGATTGTGCCCCCTGTAACCCCATTTGATCAAAATGAAATATACTTATTGACGTACCCTGGGTAATGTAGTTTCAGATTACATATGTTATGGGAGCCTATCTACAAAGCCCTGGGACGTGTTCAATAACAAAAAGACACAGACGTAAGTTACAACTTTATATATATATATATATATATATATATATATATAATTATTATTTATAATATTTAAAAAAGAATAATTAAGAATTATTCCAGATACAAAAGTTATTACTAATAATTAATAATCTAGATGTAAGAATTATTCTAACAAAAAAAAAAATATGAATAAGTATCATTAAGAATTCTTCCAGATGTAAAAATTAAGCAACACATTTTTATAGTAAAATGACAATCAATGCATTTTATAGTAAAATTGAAGACATGGTAGACATTGTGAAAAAACAAAAACAATTTGCCATGATTAATCTCATTTCTTGTAAGGAGAAACAAGTTTTCACTCTTTGTTCAATTTTGTAAGATTATTTGGTAAAAAAAAAAAAAAAATGAAGCTAAGTAATTATAATTTAATCATGAAATAATGTCATTCTCTTAAATTAATTATAAAGTTTGAATTTTCATATTTAGATTTCAGCATTAAATAACCCATAAAGGTGTTGATATGCTACTAAACAAAAAGAACCAACCAATGAACTCCAGGAAAAATACTTTGACTGAATAATGATGCTATGAATTTATATGAACAAAAGAGTTTGTGCAAAAGAGCTGAAAACTTTTGCATCATCCTTATGTGAAAGAATATATATTTTAGCGAAAAACTCAATATAAGGTCATAGAAAGCCAGGAAAAATACTTTGATGTCTGAATAATGATGCTATGAATTTATAAGAATAAATGAGTTTGTGCAAAAGAGCTGAAAACTTTTGCATCATCCTTATATGAAAGAATATATATTTTAGCGAAAAACTCAATATAAGGTCATAGAAAGCCAGGAAAAAATACTTTTGATATCTGAATAATGATGCTATGAATTTATAAGAATAAATGAGTTTGTGCAAAAGAGCTGAAAACTTTTGCATCATCCTTATATGAAAGAATATATATTTTTCGCGAAAAACTCAATATAAGGTCATAGAAAGCCAGGAAAAATACTTTGATGTCTGAATAATGATGCTATGAATTTATAAGAATAAATGAGTTTGTGCAAAAGAGCTGAAAACTTTGCATCATCCTTATATGAAAGAATATATATTTTAGCGAAAAACTCAATATAAGGTCATAGAAAGCCAGGAAAAATACTTTGATGTCTGAATAATGATGCTATGAATTTATAAGAATAAATGAGTTTGTGCAAAAGAGCTGAAAACTTTTGCATCATCCTTATATGAAAGAATATATATTTTAGCGAAAAAACTCAATATAAGGTCATAGAAAGCCAGGAAAATACTTTGATGTCTGAATAATGATGCTATGAATTTATAAGAATAAATGAGTTTGTGCAAAAGAGCTGAAAACTTTTGCATCATCCTTATATGAAAGAATATATATTTTAGCGAAAAACTCAATATAAGGTCATAGAAAGCCAGGAAAAATACTTTGATATCTGAATAATGATGCTATGAATTTATATAAATAATTAAAAAAAATGTCTTAAAAAAGCTGGGAACATTTGCATCAGCCTAATATGTAAGTAAATCAAAACATTGATGTCTTTGTTTAAAGTTTAATAGAAATTTTTTTTGTTTGCTTTGTTTTATGCGGATTTAAAAAAAAAAAAAATTCATAATTTGAACATGTTGAAAGAAGAACAAAGAACAGTAAAAAAGGGGGGGGGGCGTAACAAAAATAATCTGTATATCAGAACATAAACTAATTAAGCTGCTTTTTATTAATAGTGCTTTGTATTTCGATAATACATTAATATAAATCTTTTTTTAACACCTGTTTTTTTTGTTATTTTTTCATGTTTTAACATTTCCTTTCTTATCACTAGTCAATTTTGTACTGCTACTAAAATAATTAATAAATAAATACTCGTTATTTATGCACAGGTTATTGTCCTCATCTTTGTTATTGTTATGACAATGTTTCAGCCATCAGTTGTATGTTGATCTGTGTATATATTATATACTAGCAGTAGAGCCCGGCGTTGCCCGGGGATGTAACAGTAAGAGATAGATCAAGTATTGACCATCATAAAGACTGAAAAATAAAATTGACAGAGATTATTGTTTAAGGTTGACTGACACACGTCTTAAATAGTTTTCTTTTTTTTTTTTTTTTTTGTTATGAATTGGTCAAACTCGAACAAAAACATTGTTTTCAATCGTTATGAGTCTACCTATTGAATAGAATTTTATTATAAACAATTGTCTTGTAAATGGAATTTTTAAAGCATTCTGAATGTAAAAATAAAGAAAAAAGTGTGCAAGACAATAAAAAACACTACCTGCCCCAAAAAGTTTTGTTGAAATCGGTTGAAAAATGTAGGAAATCCGATCCCATATATAAACGAACACACACACACACACACACACAAAAACAACCTGGGTTTTATAAGTATAACTCGATATGAGTTGTCCCCCTTTCATTCTCGTGATGCCTCTTAATCGTATTTTCAAATTGATTTCGTGCAAAAACAATTATGTTTTTGGCACTATCAGAACCACCGCAAGGTAATTTTACATAGTCCTGTGAAGTTTTGTTGAAATTGGTTGAAAAATGTGGGAAATCCGATCCAATATATAAACGTACACACACACACACACACACACACAACCTGGGTTTTATAATAAGTATGATTATACTTCTTGATTCCTTGGGAAACATAGGGCTACAATAACACCTCTCCAATGGACGTGGTTCTGGGTGATCCTCTTCAGCTTGGCCCATGTTGTGCTGGCTGCCTTCACTCTGTGTCAAGACTTCTGTACCAAGTCTGTTTCGGCCGACCCACTTTTCACTTCCCTTATGGATTCCAATCAAGGCCTGTCTGGTAACACTAGAAGCAGGCTTGCAAAGTGTGGGGCTGATCTATCCCCATTTCCATTTCTTGATGTCAAGTTGATCTGTGTAACCTAAAGGGGATTCTGAACTGAACCTTTTATTTAATCTATGTGTGTAGACTGTTCTCGTTCCATTGCTCATGTCTAGAGAAATATTATCTAGTATTTTTTTTTAGTACTGCTTTGTTATTGTTTACTCTGTTTTGACTGAGTTTAAGTACACACTGCCCAGCTCAGGAATTGAACTCACAATTCACCAAATTCATGAACCGATGCTTTAATCCTCTGGGTTATGGTTCTGGGATACACCTGAAGAAGACTCAAGGACACAATGGTTGAAACATGCTAACAACACCAAAAATGAGAACACATGTAAATAATGATATCTCGTCATCCTGGAAATTCAGACAGATATTAATACTCCTTTATTATTTCATTTTCAGATTGGACTAATTGCACTGCTGTGGTCTCTTCCTGTTAGCCTCCTACCCTACTCGGTCATCTGGATTTACAGTTTAGCTCTTCAGTTAGCCAGTCCTCTTCTGCTTTTTCAAGAAGTACTCTTTGTGATTGTCCTTGCTACTGACCTATTCAACTACTTCACTGATCTAGCCGAAGATGATGATGATAATTCTTCCACATACAATGGAATCATCACCGCCTTATCCGTTATTTTCTGTGCTGTTGCTTGTTACATCACTTTTACGTACTTCAATCAGGGTTGGTTGCCACTGTTTGTACTTACGATAACCCTTTTTAATTGTTTCTTGATGTTGGTCTCTCGATGTGGCCAGCTATGGGAAGCCAGTTTCACCTTTTTCATCAGCAGTCTGATTTGCTTAGCCATGATTCAAGAGCTTAAGTCACAGGCAAATGCTCAGGAAGTTGCAGAAGCCATGTCTTCTCTCGGCCCAAAAGACTCCCTCATAGAGTTTATTTTTGCTCTCGGGCTGTTGACATTAGATAAATTCCAGAATCTCCAGATGTGGCTGTACCATTTCATGACACCTGTGTTTGTTGCCAGCTTCTTCATTCGCTTATTCTCCGTGAAGTGGGCTATTCTCAAGATGCCATCTCTGTCTGATGACAGTGAGATGGAAGTGGATGTCATCGAGGAAGAGAATGTTTCTTGGTTAAAACGTCAACCAGTGTTGACCTGCAAGCTATGCACAATATTTGTTTTGACTCAGTTGATCTGTGATCAGTTTTATGAACTGACCGGCCACGGACCTCTTTTTCGACAGGACTGGTTAAAAGCTTGGTTACCTGACCAAGTGCTGATCAGTCGAATACTGCAAATTGCCTTGGCAAATATAACACTACAGCAGTCTATCTATAGACGATGGCAAGAAGGCGATATGCGAGACAGTTACAACTACTCTTAGCCTTAACTGTCATTCTTTTAGATTAATTTTGGTTTATTGCTTGATGTCTACAATATGTTTTGCTTTCAGAAGCTCAAATCAAAATGCACTTCAAATAGGCACTGGCTCAAATTAGTTTGAACTTCAAATAAAAGAGTTCAAATTTTTCCTGAAGCTTCTCTTGTAATTTCAAAAAAAATAAAATGGTTCCATTATCTTTCATCTCATTCTTGATAAATGATCCATTTTCTCTCCTCATAACTTTCCTTGGCAAGAACAATAAATGGCTGCTATATTCGTTATCACTCATGACAAAAAGAATTTTGTTATCAGTTTTGGAAATGTAAATAAACAAAATTTATTTTTTCTGTAAGTTATGCCTTTAAAACATCCCTTTTTTTTTTTTTTTTTTTTTTTACTTTTGTTTTTTGCATGAATCTTTTTTTTGTTTTCTTTGGGTAGCCAGTGTAGATTATGAAATATCCTGTATAAATGTTGAAATGTCATGGCCAGCTTAGATTCCATATAAGTCTTGAAATTTGATTGATGGAATACATTATGAACCTCTTGAATAATCCAGAAATCCCATAGCAAGGGTGCATTAAATGACGTCCTGTGTAATTTTGTTTTTTTCTTTTTCAGATTTTTTTTTTCTCTCTTTTTTTTTTTCTTGTAATTTTTTTCCCCTCATTTTCTTTCTCTTTTACTTTCTTTTCTTTCTCCCTTTTTTTCTTTTTCTTATTTTTTGTTTCTCTTTTCCTCACTTTTTTGTCTTTTTCTTTTTTGTCCTCTATTTTTCTTTTTTCTGTCTTCTTTTTTTCAGCTCTTTTTGTCTCTTTTGTTTTCTCTCCCTCTCGCTTTCTCGTCTTCTTTCTCCCTCTCTCGCTTTCTTGTCTTCTTTCTCCCTCTCTCGTCTTCTCTCTTGCTTTCTCGTCTTCTTTCTCGTCTTCTTTCTCCCTCTCTTGTCTTCTTTCTCGCTTTCTCATCTTCTTTCTCGCTTTCTCGTCTTCTTTCTCCCTCTCTCGCTTTCTCGTCTTCTCTCTCATCTTCTTTCTCCCTCTCTCGCTTTCTCATCTTCTTTCTCCCTCTCTCTTGTCTTCTTTCTCCCTCTCTCGTCTTCTTTCTCGCTTTCTCGTCTTCTTTCTCTCGCTTTCTCGTCTTCTTTCTCCCTCTACTTTTCTCGTCTTCTTTCACCCTCTCTCGTCTTCTTTCTCTAAGATACCGTCTTCTTTTTCCCTCTCCTAAGCTTTCTCCGTCTTCTTTCTCCTCTCTCGTCTTCTTTCTCCCTCTCTTTCAGTCTTTATTTGTCTCTATCTCGTCTTCTTTTCTCCCTCTCAATGTCTTCTTTCTCCCTCTCTAAACTTCTTTCTCCCTCTCTCTAACTTTCTCCCTCTCTCGTCTTCTTTCTCCCTCTCTCAATCTTCTTTCTCCCCTCTCAAGATTTCCTCGTCTTCTTTCTCCCTCTCTCGCTTTCTTGTCTTCTTTCTCCCTCTCGTCTTCTCTCTTGCTTTCTCGTCTTCTTTCTCGTCTTCTTTCTCCCTCTCTTGTCTTCTTTTCACTTTCTCATCTTCTTTTCGCTTTCCCAAAAGGCTTTTCTCCTCTCTCGCTTTCTTTTCTTCTCAATCATTTCTTTCCCATACTCGCCTTCTTTCTCCCTCTCAGTCTTCTTTCTCCCTCTCTAGTCTTCTTTTCTATTCTTTCTATGTCTTCTTTCTCCCTCTCTCGTCTTCTTTTCTCCTCTTTCGTCTTCTTTCTCCCTCTATTTTCTTTCTCGTCTTCTTTCTCCCCTCTCTATAAACTTAGGTCTTCTTTCTCCCTCTCTAAGCTTTTAGTCTTCTTTCTCCCTCTCTGGCTTTCTTGTGGTCTTCTTTCTCCCTCTCTACGTCTTCTTTCTCCCGTTCTCAAAGCCAGAGTCTTCTTTCTCCCCTCTCATCTTCTTTCTCCCTCTCTCAAGTTCTCATCTTCTTTTTCCCTCTCTGTCTTCTTTCCCCTCTCTCGTCTTCTTTCTCTAAGCTTTCTTTCTTTCTTTCTCCCTCTCTTTCTTTCTTGTCTTCTTTCTCCCTCTCTCGTCTTCTCTCTTGCTTTCTTCTTCTTTCTAGTCTTCTTTCTCCCTTCTTGTCTTCTTTTTTCGCTTTCTCATCTTCTTTCTTTTTTTTTTTCTTTCTCCCTCTCTCGCTTTCTTTCTTCTCCCTTTCTTCTTTCTCCCTCTTTTTTTTTTCTTCTTTCTTTCTCTCTCCGTCTTCTTTCTCCCTCTCTTCTTCTTTCTTCTCTTTCGTTTTCTTTCTCTCGCTTTTCTCGTCTTCTTTCTCCCTCTCTCGCTTTCTCTTTTCTTTCACCCTCCTCTCGTCTTCTTTCTAAGCTTTCTCGTCTTTTTTTTCCCTCTTCTCTTTTTCTTCTCTTCTTTTTTTTTCTCTTTCTTCTTTTTCTTTCTCTTTTTTTTCCCTCTCTAAGTTTCTTTCTCTCTCGTCTTCTTTCTCCCTTTCTTTTTTCTTTCTTTCTTTCCCTTTTCTCCTCTTCTTTCTTTCTCCCTCTCTTTTTTCGTCTTCTTTTCTCCCTCTCTCGTCTTTTTCTCCTCTCTCTCTTTCTTTCTCCCTCTCTTCTTTTCTTTTCTCCCTCTCTCTTTCTTCTTTCTCCCTCTCTTTCTTCTTTCTCCCTCTCTCTTCTTCTTTCTCCCTCTTTCTTTCTTTCTTCTCTTTTCTTTCTCCTCTCTTTCTTTCTTTCTTCTCTTTTTTCTTTCTTCTTTCTTCTCTTCTTTCTCCCTCTCTTTCTTGCTTTGCTTTCGTCTTCTTTCTGGTCTTCTTTCTCCCTCTCTTGTCTTCTTTCTCTTTCTCATCTTCTTTCTCCTTTCTCGTCTTCTTTCTCCCTCTCTAAGCTTTTTCGTCTTCTCTCTCATCTTCTTTCTCCCTCTCCTGGTCTTCTTTCTCCCTCTCTCGTCTTCTTTCGTCTTCTTTTTTCCTTTCTCTTCTTTCTCCCTCTCTACGTCTTCTTTCTCCCTCTTTCTCGTCTTCTTTCTCCCTCTCTAGCTTTCTAGTCTTCTTTCTTCCCTCTCTCAACTTTCCTGCGTCTTCTTTCTCCCTCTCTGTCTTCTTTCTCCCTCTCTCTAGCTTTCTAGTCTTCTTTCTCCCTCTCTCCGTCTTCTTTCTCCCTCTCTCACTTTCTCATCTTCTTTCTCTCTCTCGTCTTCTTTCTCACCTCTCTAGTCTTCTTTTCTCCCTCTCTCGTCTTCTTTCTCTCGCTTTCTCGTCTTCTTTCTCCCTCTCTCGTCTTCTTTCTCTCTCTCGTCTTTCTTTTCTCCCTCTCTCTTCTTCTTTCTCCCTCTCTCCTCTTCTTTTCCCTCTCTCCGCTTTCTCGTCTTCTTTCTCCCTCTCTCGCTTTCGTCTTCTTTTCTAGCTTTCTCGTCTTCTTTCCGCTTTCTCGTCTTCTTTCTAAGCTTTCTAGTCTTCTTTCTCCCTCTCTAGTCTTCTTTCTCCCTCTCTCGTCTTTTTTCTCCCTCTCTCTCTCTTTCTCGTCTTCTTTCTCCCTCTCTAAACTTCGTCTTCTTCCTCCCTTTCTCGTCTTTCCTCTCCCTCTTTCTCCCTTCTCCCTTTCTCTTCTTCTTTCTCCCCTCTCGTCTTCTTCTTTCTCCCTCTCTCGTCTTCTTTCTCCCTCTCGTCTTCTTTTTCCCTCTCCGCTTTCGTCTTCTTTCTCCCCTCTAGTCTTCTTTTCCCTCTTTCTCCCTCCCTTCTTCTTTTCTCCCTCTCTGCGTCTTCTTTCTCCCCTCTCTCTTCTTTCCTCGTCTTCTTTCTCCCTCTCGTCTTCTTTCTCCCTCCTTTTCTTCTTTTCCCTAAGCTTCGTCTTCTTTTCTCCCCTCTCGTCTTCTTTCTCCCCTCTAAATCTTCTTTTCTCCCTCTCGCTTTCTCATCTTCTTTCTCCCTCTCTCGCTTTCTCGTCTTATCTCTCATCTTCTTTCTCCCTCTCTCGCTTTCTCATCTTCTTTTCTCCCTCTCTCTGTCTTCTTTTCCCCTCTCGTCTTCTTTCTACGCTTTCTCGTCTTCTTTCCTCTAGCTTTCGTTCTTTCTCCCCTCTCTCGCTTTCTCGTCTTCTTTCACCCTCTCTCGTCTTCTTTCTCTCGCTTTCTCGTCTTCTTTTTCCCTCTCTCGCTTTCTCGTCTTCTTTCTCCCTCTCTCGTCTTCTTTCTCGCTTTCTCGTCTTCTTTCTCCTCTCTCGTCTTCTTTCTCCCTCTCGTCTTCTTTCTCCTCTCTCGTCTTCTTTCTACCGCTTTCCCGTCTTCTTTCTCCCTCTCTCGCTTTCTCGTCTTCTTTCTCCCTCTCTCGTCTTCTTTCTCCCTCTCTCGTCTTCTTTCTCCCTCTCTCGTCTACTTTCTCCCTCTCTCGCTTTCTCGTCTTCTTTCTCCCTCTCTCGCTTTCTTGTCTTCTTTCTCCCTCTCTCGTCTTCTCTCTTGCTTTCTAGTCTTCTTTCTCCCTCTCTTGTCTTCTTTCTCCTTTCTCATCTTCTTTCTCGCTTTCTCTTCTTTCTCCTCTCTTTCTTTCTCGTCTTCTCTCTCATCTTCTTTCTCCCTCTCTCGTCTTCTTCTTTCCTCTCTCGTCTTCTTTCTCCTTCTCTCGTCTTCTTTCTCTTTCTCGTCTTCTTTCTCCCTCTCTCTTTTCTTTCTCCCTCTTTCTCGTCTTCTTTCTCCCCTCTCTCGCTTTCTCGTCTTCTTTCCCCTCTCGCTTTCTCGTCTTCTTTCTCCCTCTCTCGTCTTCTTTCTCCCTCTCTAAGCTTTCTAGTCTTCTTTCTCCCTCTCTCGTCTTCTTTTCTCCCTCTCTCCCCACTTTCTCATCTTCTTTTCTCCCCCTCTCGTCTTCTTTTCTCCCTCTCTCGTCTTCTTTCTCTCGCTTTCTCGTCTTCTTTCTCCCTCTCTCGTCTTCTTTCTCTCTCTCTCGTCTTCTTTCTCCCTCTCTCGTCTTCTTTCTCCCTCTCTCGTCTTCTTTCTCGCTTTCTCGTCTTCTTTCTCCCTCTCTCGCTTTCTCGTCTTCTTTCTCCCTCTCTCGCTTTCTCGTCTTCTTTCTCCCTCTCTCGTCTTCTTTCTCCCTCTCTCGCTTTCTCGTCTTCTTTCTCCCTCTCTCGTCTTCTTTCTCCCTCTCTCACTTTCTCATCTTCTTTCTCTCTCTCGTCTTCTTTCTCCCTCTCTCGTCTTCTTTCTCCCTCTCTCGTCTTCTTTCTCCCCTCTTTCGTCTTTCTCTCCTTTCTCATCTTCTTTCTCCCTCTCTCGTCTTCTTTCTCTCTCTCTCCTTCTTTCTCCCCTCTCTCGTTTCTCCCTCTCTCGTCTTCTTTCCCTCTCTACGCTTTCCTGCGTCTTCTTTCTCCCTCTCTAGCTTCTACGTCTTCTTTCTACTTTCTCGTCTTCTTTCTGGCTTTCTCGTCTTCTTTTTCTAGCTTTCGTCTTCTTTCTCGCTTTCTCGTCTTCTTTCTCCCTCTCTCGTCTTCTTTCTCCCTCTCTGTCTTCTTTCTCCCTCCTCGCTTTCTCGTCTTCTTTCTCCCTCTCTAAGCTTTCTCGTCTTCTTTCTCCCTCTCTCCTTTCTCGTCTTCTTTCTCCCTCTCTACGCTTTCTCTAGTTTTCTCTCCCTCTTTCTCCCTCTCTAGTCTTTTCTCCCTCTCGTCTTCTTTCTCCTCTCGTCTTCTTTCTCCCCTCTCCTTTCTCGTCTTCTTTCTCGCTCTCTCGTCTTCTTTCTCCCTCTCTCGTCTTCTTTCTCCCTCTCTCGTCTTCTTTCTCCCTCTCTCGTCTTCTTTCTCCCTCTAGTCTTCTTTCTCCCTCTCTTGCTTTCTTTCGTCTTCTTTTCTCCCTCGTCTTCTTTCTCCCTCTCTCTCGTCTTCTTTCTCCCTCTCTAGCTTTCTCGTCTTCTTTCTCCTCTCCGTCTTCTTTCTCCCTGTTTCAAGTCTTCTTTCTCCCTCGCTCGTCTTCTTTCTCCCTCGCTCGTCTTCTTTCTCCCTCTCTCGTCTTCTTTCTCCCTCTCTCGCTTTCTCGTCTTCTTTCTCCCTCTCTCGCTTTCTCGTCTTCTCTCTCATCTTCTTTCTCCCTCTCTCGCTTTCTCATCTTCTTTCTCCCTCTCTCGTCTTCTTTCTCCCTCTCTCGTCTTCTTTCTCGCTTTCTCGTCTTCTTTCTCTCGCTTTCTCGTCTTCTTTCTCCCTCTCTCGCTTTCTCGTCTTCTTTCACCCTCTCTCGTCTTCTTTCTCTCGCTTTCTCGTCTTCTTTTTCCCTCTCTCGCTTTCTCGTCTTCTTTCTCCCTCTCTCGTCTTCTTTCTCGCTTTCTCGTCTTCTTTCTCCCTCTCTCGTCTTCTTTCTCCCTCTCTCGTCTTCTTTCTCCCTCTCTCGTCTTCTTTCTCCCTCTCTCGTCTTCTTTCTCCTCTCTCCTTTCTCGTCTTCTTTCTCCCTCTCTGATCTTCTTTCTCCCTCTCTCGTCTTCTTTTCTCCCTCTCTCGTCTACTTTCTCCCTCTCTCGCTTTCTCGTCTTCTTTCTCCCTCTCTCGCTTTCTTGTCTTCTTTCTCCCTCTCTCGTCTTCTCTCTTGCTTTCTCGTCTTCTTTCTCCCTCTCTTGTCTTCTTTCTCGCTTTCTCATCTTCTTTCTCGCTTTCTCGTCTTCTTTCTCCCTCTCTCGCTTTCTCGTCTTCTCTCTCATCTTCTTTCTCCCTCTCTCGTCTTCTTTCTCCCTCTCTCGTCTTCTTTCTCCCTCTCTCGTCTTCTTTCTCGCTTTCTCGTCTTCTTTCTCCCTCTCTCGTCTTCTTTCTCCCTCTTTCTCGTCTTCTTTCTCCCTCTCTCGCTTTCTCGTCTTCTTTCTCCCTCTCTCGCTTTCTCGTCTTCTTTCTCCCTCTCTCGCTTTCTCGTCTTCTTTCTCCCCTCTCTCGTCTTTTTTCTCCCTCTCTCACTTTCTCATTTTCTTTCTCCTCTCTCGTCTTCTTTCTCCCTCTCTTTTCTTCTTTCTCTCTCCCCTTTCTCTCTTCTTTCTCCTCTCTCTTCTTTCTCTCTCTCTCGTCTTCTTTCTCTCTCTCTCTTCTTTCTCCCTCTCTCTCTTCTTTCTCCCTCTCTGCTTTCTCTCTTCTTTCTCCCTCTCTCTCTTTCTCGTCTTTTTCTCCCTCTCTTGCTTTCTCGTCTTCTTTCTCCCTCTCTCGCTTTCTGTCTTCTTTCTCCCTCTCTCTCTCTTCTTTTCTCCCTCTCTCTCTTTCTTTCTCCCTCTCTGTTTTCCTTCTTTCTCCCTCTCTCTTCTTTCTCCCTTTTTCCTGTCTTCTTTCTCCCCTTTCTTCTCTCCTCTCTGTCTTCTTTCCCTCCTGTCTTCTTTCTCCCTCTCTGTGTCTTCTTTCTCCCTCTCTTGCTTTCTCTTCTTCTCTCCCTTGCTTCCTTCTTCTTTCTCCCTCTCGTCTTCTTTCTCCCTCTCTCTCTTCTTTCTCCCTCTCCCTCTCTCTCTCTTCTTTCTCCCTCTCTCGTCTTCTTTCTCCCTTCTCTTCTTTCTCCCTCTCTCGTCTTCTTTCTCCCTCTCTCTTCTTCTTTCTCCTCTCTCTCTCTCTCTCTTCTTTTCTCCCTCTCTCGCTTTCTCGTCTTCTTTCTCCCTCTCTCCCTCGCTCGTCTTCTTTCTCCCTCTCTCGTCTTCTTTCTCCCTCTCTCGCTTTCTCGTCTTCTCTCTCTTCTTCTTTCTCTCTCTCTCGTCTTCTTTCTCTCGCTTTCTCGTCTTCTTTCTCTCTCTCTCGCTTTCTTCTCTTCATTTTCGTTTTGCTTCTTTTTTACCTTCTTTCTTTTTCCAGGTTTATTTTTTTGTTTGCTTTTATTATTTCTGGCTTTCTCTCTTTTTCTTTTCTCTCTCTTCTCTCTCTCTCTCTCTCTCTTTTTCTTTTCTCTCTCTTCTCTCTCTCTCTCTCTCTTTTGGCTTTTTTCTCTCCTTTTTCTTTGTCTTACCATATTTCTCTCTTTTTTTTTTTTTTTTCTTGTCTACCTTTTTTCTTTCATATTACCTTTTTTTTCTCTTTTTCCTTTTCATTTTTCTCTATAATTACACTTTTTCTTCTTCATCTCTTGTCAATTCTTTTGATTTATTTTCTCTCCTGTTTCTTTTCCACAATTTCTGATTTTTTGAGTGATAACCATGTGTGGGAACATAGCTATCCATTTCCATGCCTGTAATCAATAATAACCATCTTGACAACTCACAGATTGGTAGAATGTCTAATACATTGTGTGGTAAATGATGTAAAGGTAAAAGAATTCTCTGATGTCATATTCCTTTGACGGAAATGACTTTTCTTAGCATTCTATGACTTTTTGTTTATTATAAGGATAAGGGTTGCTAGTACATCAAGTATGCCGAGATGTGTAGCAGTCTTGTATGTTGATACAATACTGCAGTGTAGTAATTATGTGTTTGTTTATTTATAGTATGTTCTAGGTAGATTTTAGTTTAAATGGATTTACTCAGTCTTGCATATTTCACCATTCAGTTATTTATTTTTTAATCATTTCACTCTAAGCAAGGCAATAATGCCACTAAGACTCAAAGGTTTGCTAGGAGTGAAAGGGTTTGTTTGTTTGTTTGTTTAAAAACTTAACGACCCATCGATCAGCAAGAGATCATTTAAGGTTAAACAATTGTTTTTTTTTCTTTTTCTTTAAATAAGGTTGAAATGCTTTCAAAAAGACTTTCCCTTTCCTTTCCTTCTTTTTCGATGTTGTCTTGCTTTTTTTTTTTTTTTTTAAATTTCACTGTTTTCAGAGGTGCGTTGTTCTTTGATACTTGCCAGGTGAGAAATTTTCAAAGTTTCCCCTTTCATCATCAGACACCAAATTGGAATTATGTTTTATTATATAGTCCAACTTTCCTAAGAAAGGTCAAGATCAAATTGGGGTTTGATTTTTCGAAAAGTTCTTTCAAGTTGTTCCCGTTGTAAAATAATTTTTGAATATGTGCCATGTCACCGCAATCAAGCAAGAAGTGCTTCACAGTATAAGCCTCCTGGCATGCTATGCATTCAGGAGGATCTTCGTCTTTTAGGAGGAAGGAGTGAGTTATGTGCGTGTGTCCTATCTGAATACGGGATAAAACCACTTCTTCTTTGTATGATTTTCTGTGTTCAGTTAGTTGTTTCTTTAGAGAGGGTTCGATTTTAAATAATTTGTTGTTTTGACAGCTGTTCCAAGCGTCTTGCCATTTCTTCAAAATAAAGTCATTTATTAGGAGTTTATAGTCAGTGTATGGAACCTTTATGTTACTTGTGTTAAGTTTCAGAGAGTTTTTTGCAGCCACATCAGCTTTTTCATTTCCATGGAAACCAGAGTGGCTGGGAATCCAACAGAAAATGATAGTTTTATTTTGTGAGATCGCATGTATTCTATGTAAGAGTTTGATGAGCAAAGGATTGTTTAATTTTTGTTTTTTTAATGATTTGAGTACTGATAATGAGTCTGCAAAAATAATGGATTTGTTTGAGTTAAGTGAGTGAAAGGGAATGAAAAGACTTTAGTTGAAGGAACTGGAGTCCTGAGCAAGAAACAAAGGATAAACTTCTACTCCTGTTCAAAAGTGTGAACTAAGCAATAGGTGAATCTATCTATTTGTAAAGATTTCTAATTAAGATTTTTAATTGGTTCTTTCTCTCATCAATCTCAGCTAAATGTAACCATTCTTCAAGATTTTTCTTTGTTACAAATCTTCCAAAAGGTTTTTTCATGCACAAATGGAAACCTCACCTTATTATAAAGTAATTCTTTTCTTTTAAATGTATATTTTATACGAACCCCAGGGATTTAAAACTTATCATCTGTGACCCATTATTATAATTTTCATAGTATTTTATGTTCATTGTTAATTATATTTGTACCACTTGGCATTAATAATGATGAAATTAAACATTTCCATACAGGAAACATGTGTCACTGTTTGATAAGATAAAGAATAAATAGGAAATGTTTATTAATCTAACATGTTTCACATTTATTAAAGGTTCGTTAGAGAATGAAATATGGAGAAAAAGAAGAAAGGAATTCTGATATATTTTACTTTTGTGTTGTTTGATTTTCATTGGTCAGTCATGTTTCATGTGCATTTGATTTGGTTTCATAGTTTGTGGGGAAAAAATGTTCAAGTGGAACTTGTATCTTGTCAGTGGAATAGGAAGGGAATGATGGCAGGTTGCTACAATGTGCCAATGATGGTGGGTTGCTACAATGTGCCTATTATGATGGGTCTTAGCTGAAAATGTAAGAACTGGTGGAACTAAGGAATGTAGTTCAACTGAGCACTTTCCATGAAAGATAGAGCAGTGAGAAGCTTGCAATGTTTCATCTGTGAGAAATAAGTTGTAGGGTGGAAAATAATTTTTCATCCACGACACAAACACATTTTTGAAGATTTGGCGGCTCCTGCCCATATATGGCAATAGCACTACATTTTCGGTTTGATCTGGAACTTATAAAAGTAGAGCAGAGTATGAGAATTCAGGTACTTACTGGAGTGGTACAGAGAACCAACCATTTTTCCAGCATCTTTAGATCCTATACAAGTGCATGAAGTGAAATTCAGCAGGTCATCATCACTATCTCTTCATGCCTATATCCATTAAATTGCTTCAACATAATTTGCATAAAAGTGCATTTTAATGTATTTAATTTACATGGCCAGTGAGTGTATATCTGTTCTTTTATATATAATGCAATGTGTACTATTGCCCTCATTGTTGTTGTTATCTCTAAGTTTCAGCCTCTGTCCTTCATCAGGTGCTTACTGATCCAAGTAATCTTCAAAGGCAATAGGCTAATGCAGGGGGTTTTCATAAAGACAAGGTTAAGAAATTCACTGTCCGAGGAGAATTTGCAATCTTACACATTGTTATCTGTTGTAGCATACCTACGGATGATAATGGCTGTCCTCATTCACATAAATACAGTAGTAAATACTGTATGTTGGTCTGCAGTTGGAGATTTGTCTCCAGCTGTGCTGGTCAAACTCTCTGTCTCCGGGCAGAGAGGATCCCCAGACGAGGCTATGTTGAATGGCAGAGTTTCGTCTCGGGGAAACAGCTACCCAACCCAGTTCTTTACGGGGTCTATGGGGAATTTTTGACCAAGTCTACGGACTCGGATACCCCACATTAAATTTGGCCTTGTGCCACATCTGACCGTTTGGGGCAGTTGGTAGTTATCCTGCAGTTGGAGATTCATCTGTAGAATTCACTTGACTCACTTCTAGCAGTTGAGAACTTCTTCTATGTGCCACTGGCAAATCTTATATATGTTGTTCTTGTCCTAAGTATTATCATTCATTACCAACATTTGTGTGATTATTCTATTCAGTAACCTTCCCTGGAGAGGAGGCATGGTGGAGTAATGGATAGAAGCTCGGATTGAAGAATCAGAGAGTTGAGTTTGATATTCCTAGTCAAATCCATTACATTCACTTACATGCTAATACCCTTGGGAAAGGGATGAATCCTCCTCTTCTTCCCCCAGCTATGGGTAATAGCAGGACAGACTGGGTTCTATAGCCTTGGATAGCAACTGGTCTACCACAGAAAGAAATGGCGACCTACTGTGGGAAAAAATCTACTTTGTCAGTCATGTATCGAAAGATACATGATCGCCTAAGCATGTATCACACATGGGACATAACTGACTTTCTGAACCTTCCCTAGCTTACAACACTATCAATTTAAAAAGAATTCTTACATGAATTGTATGCAGAATTATTGGCAGATTTGAACAATCATCTAGTGAATACAAATGATTGCTCTTCATATAGTGGACTGCATGCAAATCTCTTTTGTGCTTTTGAACTATATGCTAATGTGTAAATTCTTCAGTAAACTATTTAAAAATATCAACCAATTACTTAACTTAAAAAATATTTAAATATAACATTCTATATTTACTTTTGATCTCTTCTGGCAATAGTTATGTACTTTAAGTGTACAGTTGGAGTACATAATTACTAAGAAATGTTAATTACTAAGGAATAGGCATTTTTTTCCACAAAAATTTTAATTGTATTATTTTAGCATATGTATTTTCTTTTTCATTTTATTTATTCATTATGAAAATTAAATGATAGCATAATATTTGTGGGTGGGTCTCATTTGTCACCTGGTAACTAATAGTTTTAGACCCAGTCTGCCACTGCATAGATTAAATAAAGTGCTTAGTTTCAATTTCCCTGAAGGTTACCTTAATCCACGAGCACCTGATGAAGGCTGGAGGGTACAACAGTCAAAATGCTGTGATAATAACAACAAAGATAAGGACAATAGATTGATGTAAAGAATGATATTTATTTATGCCAGAAATTCAAACAGAAACACAATGTGACTATATATTCATGAGGTATGTATCGTGAGCTTCCTGTTTTGACAATGTTAAATGCTGTTATTATGATACCAAAAGTGAACTTACCATAACTAAAGAAGATTCCATTAGGAAATAGGGGAGACAGGTTGTTAATACATTTAATTTTTTCTTTCCTATTTACTTTTTTTTTTTTTTTTTTGTTAATCCTTCACTTAAGCGTTGTAAATAAATTGCTATTCCCTGAACGGCGTAAAATCAATAAGACCAATCTATATACGTTTATAACAACCATTATTACAAAGGCTAGTGCCAGACTATGCATCAACTAAATGCTGGAAGCACATGACTGTTCTTGTACCACAGGACCCACAAAATGCTGCTGATGAATAACGATATCATGAGAGTATATCCCGTGTTCGATTTTTCCTCAATTCCAGTATAAGTAACAGAGCCGATTTTGAAACAATATGGCTTCCGGGCCGAACATTTTTTTCATAAGTATTTCACCCCAAGCAAGGTGGGAGTGTCACAAGTACACAAAGGGTTACAGAGAGTATAAGTAAGGGAAAAAACTGGGTAAAGGGGAAGGTGAGGAAAGGATAAAAAGGACAGGGATCAAGGCAACAGAAAATGTCGATTGACATTACACTTAAATTTTTGAAGAGTATAGTTATCAGGGAAGCAAGTAAGCAGAAGGGAGTTCCACTGTCAGGAAGTGCG